CAACCTCTGCCTGCCGGGTTCAAGCAATTCTCCTGCCTCAGCCTACTGAGTAGCTGGGATTACAGGCATGCACCACCAGGCCTGGCTAATTTTGTATTTTTAGTAGAAACGGGGTTTCTGCATGTTGGTCAGGCTGGTCTTGAACTCCTGGCCTCAGGTGATCCACCCGCCTTGACCTCCCAAAGTGCTGTTATTACAGGCATGAGCCACTGTGCCCAGCCAGCACTTAATGTTTTCAGTGAATTAGCCTTGTAGATGAATTCAGACATGAAACAAGCTTTGCTATTTTCCATGTAATCCTAGAAAAAGATGGTCATTAATACTAATTTGGGGAACATTATAATAGCATTTACTAAAGGATCCAAATTTTTTTAAATAACAGAAGTATTTAATCAGGCTGAGTGTGGTGGCTCATGCCTGTAATCCCAGCACTTTGGGAGGCTGAAGCAGGTGGATCAGATAACTTGCCCACAGGAGTTCAAGACCAGCCTGGTCAATAGGGTGAGACCCTGTCTCTACTAAAAATACAAAAATTAGCCAGGCATGGTAGTGCATACCTGTGGTCCCAGCTACTCAAGAGGCTGAGGCAGGAGAATCTGTTGAACCCAGGATGTGGAGGTTGCAATGAGCTAAGATTCCACCACTGCACTCCAGCTTAGGCAACAAAGGGAGACTGTCTCGGAAAAGAAAAAGGATTTAATCAGATTATCTTAAGTATTTAACGAAAATCAGAGACCTGTGTATCAGATTTTCAATGAGCTGAGATCATACCACTGCACTCCAGCTTGGGTAACAGAGAGACTTTGTCTCGGGAAAAAAAAAAAAGGATTTAATCAGATTATTTAAAATATTTAACTAAAATCAGAGACTTGTATATCAGATTTTCTATTTTTAAATTCTAACTTTTGTTTTTGATTCAAGGGGCACATATGTAGGTTCATTGTGATGGTATCAGTTGTACCCCAAACCTCAAGATCCAAATTTTTAAAGTATAATTTTATTTGTAGAATTTGAATTAATTATGCCATAACCAGTCGTTTTTCAATATAATTTTATTTTTAGTGCTTGGGCGCATGTGTGTGTGTGCATATATATATATATATATATATATATATATGTTATCCCTATTTTAATAGAATATATTATTGGAGAAAAATAAGCTTCGCATTATGTTTCTTCAATGGCTGCATGAAAACCTGTCTTTATTTTTCCCTTTCAAAAAATTTGTTAGTTTAGAATGCATTACAAAAATTGTAGAGGATCACAAGGTATAACTCAGATTGTAGAATTTACATTGGTTGGGCAGAAAAAATGATACATGTGACTTGGTGTTTGAGTAATGGACACCTTCCCAAGGCTTTTTCAGAAGTAAATGGAAAATATGCATTTCACTAGTATCAATAGTGGCTACATGTTTTTGGGTTTATTTTGTTTTTAGAAAGGGTCCTGTTCTGTCACCCATGCTGGAGTGCAGTGGTACAATCACAGATCACTGCAGCTTCGACCTCCCAGGCTCAGACAATCCTCCTATTTCAGCCTCCCAAATAGCTGGGACTACAGGCACATGCCACCATGCCCAGCTAATTTTTTTTATTTTTTGTAGAGATAAGGTCTCCTCTGTTGCCTAATCTGTTGTTGAACTCCTGGGCTCAAGTGATTCTCCCACCTTGGCCTCCCAAAGTGCTGGGATTACAGGCATGAGCCACCATACCCAGCCTGGCTAAATAGACTTAAGAGCTTAAAACAAAAATGTCCGAAAGAATCTAGATTTGTTCTGATTGTCTGATTTACTTCAGAAAAAAAAATTGTATAAGAACACACTTGAAATGAGGGAGCAGATGAAATGCATTTTTCATCAAAAAAACTTAGCTAAATTTTTTTTCTTAAATGATGCAAATAAATTTCCTCCCTTATAGTGCCCATTGGATTCTAATGGTTAAAATATCTTTTATTTTGGTTGCTTTATAGCTGTGGATCGGTCCATTTCATCAAGTCTATCAGATGCACGAGATGCCTTAGTGAATGCTGTAGTGGACTCGTTGTCTGCATATGGCTCAACTGTCTCAAATTTACAGCACTCTGCATTGATGGCACCCAGCTCCCTCAAGTTGTTTCCTCTCTATGTTTTGGCCCTTCTCAAACAGGTAGCTTTCTATACCCTGCTGTCTTTAATAATGTATTTAAAATTCTCAGATATGTATATGAAGAAAGGAAATCTAGATTGTTGTTTTTTAATACTTAACTAGAGGATTATTCACTTTAACATTGAAAGAGTTTTGAAGAATAGAAAAAGATCAATGGGGCTGGGCGTGGTGGCTCATGCCTGTAATCCCAGCATTTTGGGAGGCCGAGGCAAGCGGATGGCCTGAGGTCAGGAGTTCGAGACCAGCCTGGCCAACATAGTGAAACCCCATCTCTACTAAAAATACAAAAATTAGCTGGGTGTGGTGGTGTGTGCCTGTAATCCCAGCTACTCAGGAGCCTGAGGCAGGAGAATTGCTTGAACCTAGGAGGCGGAGGTTGCAGTGAGCCAGGATCATGTCACTGCACTCCAGTCTGGGTGACAGAGCGAGACTCCATTTCAAAAAAAAAAAAAAAAATCAATGGAAAATGAAGGTATACAAATACATGATGACTTTAGTGAAACCATATTCTCACTTTCTTTAATGTGTGTGAGCAGTTTGCATAATGGTGCAGTCATAGCTCACTCTTTTTTTTTTTTTTTTTTTTTTTT